CCTAATTATATTTGATAAGCTGATAAGCTAAATATAGCTAAATTAATTATAGTAATTAGCACGCTATTAAGAAAAGACTTAGAAAAATAATGAAAAGAAAAAGAAAAATTACGGAGAAATTATAATATTGTTACACCAAGTTTATTACAAATTTCTTCAAATGTATATTGCTAGCTGTGAAGAATCATTTACTTACGATTCATGTAATCATCTTTAGGTATAGAATGAAATACAGCTTTTCAATAATTTCTGATTACTAACGATTAACTTCGTAGGATTCCATTATGAATTGGGCAAAAGAATTTGTTGAAATATTTTCAGAATTTTCTCGAAGTGGTCTTCAATTACCTAAGCTTCATGCTTGGTGCTATCATATGATACCTGCAATTCAAGAATATGGATCAATAAATAGTATGACCACGAAAACCTACGAAACTCTTCATAAGAATTATGTAAAAAGACCCTATCGCATATCAAACAAAAAAGACTATATGAAACAAATATTAAGGATGGTATGTTTATAAATCTAGTAACTAATCGTTATTTATCGCTATGCACTGGTTAAAATTATATTTTAACCAAATAATATATTGTAATATATAGCAAAGTAATAACTTAATTTCTATATAATATATGTATTTAAATATATTCGCTAGTAAATATATATTATTTAGTAATTAAGTTATTACTTTGTTATATATTACAATATATTATTTGGTTAAATATGATTTTAATCGTGAATAATCGTTATATTAGGTTATACGGCAGAAGTTAACTGAAAAAGAAGCCCAAAAGAAATATCGCCAAGCTAAAGGGTTTGGAAAACCTATGTGGACTTTAAGTTTAGATAAGTTGGACGATTTTCTTAAAAACAACAAAAATAATATGGACCTATTACAAATTGAAGGGTTTCAAAACCTTTTAACTGGTCTTGATGAATTTTTTGAAGAAGAACCAATTTTGTCTCTTAACGATTTTAATCGTATGCAGGTATTTTCTTCAGCTTTATTAGAAAGTACTGATATAATTCGTACTATTGCTAGTTTCCATGGAAGTCCTATATTTTCAAACGTTGTGATTAGTAGCTATAAAAATAATGAAGAAATAAATTGGTATGGCTTGGTATGTATCGAAAGTTGATCAATTCGAATTTTTTTATTAAAATTTGCTTAACAATGGTAAATTATAATTATAAGCAAATGATACTTCAAAGGTAAATTAATAACATAAATATTATTTCAAGATACTTCTTATACTTAAATTTTATCAAACAAACCAAGAGCCATTAGAGTTCGCCTTAGTCTGTTGGTATGAGGAAGTTGGTGAATTATGAAGATGTCCTAAATTGAAGTTACTTAAACACTATAGTTGCATACCATTAGATAGCATTGATAAGACAGTGCATATAGTCTCGAGATTTAATAAAATAAATGACTATCTTTTGAATAGTTTCATTTTCTAATTTAAAGTATCGATATTTAAAGTATATATTATGTACGTTATATTTTGATAGATAACGATAATTTGATTTATCAGTTTAAATAAAATCGAAGATAATCGAATTTTGTAAATAACGATATGTATCGATTTAAACAATATCGATGATAATCAATTTTTTTGTAAATAACGATATGTATCCAACTATTGATTTGTATCGATTTAGATATATATCGATTTATAACTACCCTGCTGATACATATCATTATATTTCAATCGATATATATTGATTATTTGATATATATCGATTAGTATCTATCCAAAAATTTTCCTGATAATTCTTACCTTATCTTAGAGGAAGTAGATGAAAATAATAAAGACCAATGAATCAATAAACTAGATGATGAAGATAAAATAGAAACTTATTATCTAGAGAAATGGCTTTTAGTAATTAATGAATTATATTACAACCCTTGGTTTGACATAAAAG